TTGGAATCTCCCTGACATTCTATATGTTTCTCACCTCTTTGATGTATTTTTTTTTTACTCTAGCCAAAGAAATGCTCTACATTTTTTAAGACTACTTGGGATTACATTGAGCCCAACTAGATAACCCAGGATAATTGTAACCTCTTAAATTATATAATTTTAATCAGATCTGCAGTGTTCCTTAAATAATGTGCTCATAGACTTGAGGGATGGGAGAATGGAAATATCTTGACATCTATTATTATCTGTCTACCATATTCTGTCTACCACATATAATGTTGCAGTTGAAATATTTCAACATGCATAACGAAGAAATTTTATGCACATATCTCTTAAGATACCTATTATATTTACTTATGAACATAAGACTGGTGTATAACTATATAAACTATTATAGTACACACACACCTTTATCTAAGAATATAAACAATAAATTATGCCTGAAAAAGGAAAGTTGGAGTGGATAGATTTCTACTAGAAATAAATAATTCTAAAGATAATTACTGTAATTAATAGTAAAGAAAGCATAGGAAAACAAAAGTGAGGGTTAAATTGTTTTTTTGTGTTTTAGACAAGAGAAAAAACTTACTGTTATATTTGAAAAGAAAAGGTTGACCATGTTAGGAGAACTCTTGAGGCACAACTGATATATAACAAACACATTGGCAGAGTCTTACATATACAGGATGTACTTAAAGATGAAATTGCTGTAGCAGATTTCTTCATAATTCATATAGCGTAATTCTTCATAATTCCCCCAAACTTGAAAGCAATATAGAAGTCCGTCATTATGTGAACAGTTAAAAGTTTACCACACTCAAGTGATAGAATATTATTCAGCGATAAAAAGGAAATAGCTACTAAGAAACGAAAATGTATGGAGTCTTCCATACCTGTTACTAAGTGAAATAAGCCAATATGAAAAAGGCTATTCATTGTATGATTTCAACCATATAACATTTTGGAAAAGGCAAAAGTATAAAGAGAATAAAAAGACAAATGATTGCCAGGGTTGGTGGAGGAAAGGAAGAATAGAGAGAACACGGAGGATTTGTAGGGGAGTAAAAGTATTCTGCATGATTCTATGGGAGATACATATCCTTACTGATGGAATGTACAAAATCAAGAGGGAACTCTTGTGCCAGTTACTCTTGATTGTCAACAAGACTTTCTTTCTTTTTTGGTACTGGGGATTGAACTGGGGTCCTTGTGCTTGAAGGGCAGGCAGTGGAACCACTTAGCTAAATCCTATCCCCAACAAGAATTTCTTAGGACTCCTAAGGAGATGATTGGATTGTGACACTAGCCCCATCATTGATTTTACCCATCTATGAATTAATAGCTGAATGGGCTACTAGGAGATAGGGCCTAGTTGAAGCAAATGGGTAATGGGGATGTGACCTTGGGAAGTACATCTTGTCTCTGGTTCCTTCCACAAGGGCTCTTTCCAACCCATTCTCCTTCCCAGCTGCCAAGAATTGAGCAGTTTTGCTCCACCACATCCTTCTACCATAATATCTCTGCTTTGGAGCCAAATTATCAGGGATTAAACCTCCAAAAACATGAACCACTATAAACATCCCCTCCCTTCACTCAGGGATTTTGTCCCAGCAACAGGAAAGCTGAGCAATTCAAAACTTTACTATAAACTATGGACTTTCATGATAATGATGTGTCAATGTAGATTCATCAGTTGTAACAAATGTACTCTGGTAGTGGGGGAGATTGACAGTAGTAGAGGGGTGGAGGAAAGAGATATATGGGAAATCTGTACTTTCCAATCAACTTTGGTGTAAGTCAAAAACTGTCTAAAAAATAGAGTCCATTAAAAAATAAAATAGACTTGGAAGACTTTGTAGAGAAATTTCTGAAACTGACAGAATAGGAGTCACTAGACATAGAAATCTGACTTTGAAATGTATAAGCACTAGGGATAATTTCACTTCAGATTGTCAGTGTTGAGTTGAAGTCTTTTATAAAAATCTAGATGGTCACACTATTACAGATTAAATTATATTTAAATTACATACAGTATTCTCTCCATTTGGACATAATACTATACATTTGACATTACTCATTTTTGCTGGTTGTTTATACTGGCATAAATCGTTAAAATAAACAGGGAAGGGAAAACTGCTTTTTGGAGGGCTGTATATGTTCATGTCATCAAAAAGAAAGAGAGCATTTGGATCAGTATAATTGAAGATAGATTCACAAGAAGTCTTAAAACAAAATTAATTATCCCATTGATTTAGAATGGGGATAAACAAAATGACAACTTTTTAGAATCCAGCGATAGATATTTATACATCATGTTTAGATTATTATTAAGGAAAAATAAATATGAGTAAAGTAATACTCAATTTGGATTCTCCACAAGAATAGGCAAGGGTAGAGGTTCCCCTTCACTGAAAACAAATGAATTAATAAATTTCTTGGAGGTAGGGAGCAAAAATATTAGCTGCAATTTGCTTGCTGTTGACTCAAGTGCATTGCCTGAATAAGTTCTTGTGGTCTCTGACAGACAACAGTTTAGTGCATTTTGAAGGAGAAGTAAGAGAGGTCAAGGGTACAAGAAATTAGGGATGGCTTTTATGCTTTTTTAAGAAAATGAATTTAAAGCAATTGCATCGGAAAAAAGGTTTTGAATTTCTTACAAATATCTTTTTTTTTTTTTTCCTTTTGGTACCAGGGATAGATAAAACTCGGAACCTTGCACTTGCGAGGCCAGTGGTGGCATCACTGAGCTAAATCCCCAGCCAGTTAAAATGTCTTTGGGGGGGGGGGGGGGGGGTACCGGGATTGAACTCGGGACCTTGCTCTTGCGAGGCAGGCGCCAGAACCACCGAGCTAAACTTTTTCAATAATACAAGTTTGAACATCACTACAACCTGACACAAAACAAAAAGGGAAATTTTATTTTGGCAAGCCAGTACTTGGTCTTTATTACTTTTTTTGTGCTTGTCTGCCACTAATTAAAACATAGAATTCTAAATGTAGGCCTAATTAATACAATGTAAAAACTGTAAATGAATCCCTGAACTTTAAAGCTATGAACTTCCTGATTATTCTTTGGCCTATCTTTTTCATTTTATCCCTTTTAGCTTGACCGGAGGATGAAAAATTACAGTAATAATACTAATACTAATACTAATGAAATTTCAGTCTTAGAGTGAATGTTCTACCTCATTTAACTGGGGCTACTTTGCCCTTTCCACATTCTTGGAATATTAAAAATTAGAGGTGCCCTCTGCCTCTAGAAAGATGCTGTGTAGTCGCAGTGTGTGATATTTCTATTTTTTATTGAAGAACTCCACGAGCTAAACTGTTCTCATCTAGCCACTTTAGGGTCTTGCAATGCCTCTAAATCTTATCAATACTTCCTTCAAAATCTAGCTAACGGCCTACTTCTTTCCTGCTGATTCCAGTCCACGTTATATTTTTTCTCTTCCATTCACTTCGCACCTTTTGGCACAAATCTTTCAGCACTCAGTATTTGTTTCCACGAGCACAGCGTTTACCTTCTTTAGCATGTTTCTCGTTTCCATAGGCGAGCCTAAGGACAACGTTTGGTGGGAGGAGCACGCCGTGATACTGTCCGTGGTCCTGAAACATCATTGTTGCCTAAGGACATTTTTCAGACACATCTGGTGACTCCTCTTGTCTATTTCTCCCAGAAATTTAAAAACTCGTAAAGTGATGGCGAGAAAGGGGGGGGGGAGGCAAGAAGATATTGGAAGAGAAGATACAGGGATGTACAGAGGTATTACTCTCAAATAATAAGCTTGATAGAATAAGATGCTTGAATTTGACATAATTTTCTAATAACTCCAAGTGTCAACTTGGGAACAACCAGGGGATGAAAAAAAGAGCTGACATAGCTAATGATGAATGGGGCATTAAAAATGCGTGTGCCACGTGATATAAAGCCTTCTAAGCACCAGCATGAACAAAGACACTGATGTTAGCGGGCAAAGGTGCAAGACAGGTAGTTTACTGGGAATGCAGCATCAGCTGTGCTATACCAACTGCCATAGATTTTTTTTTGTCTTGATTCTTCTCTTTTGATTTACAAAACAAAAAATATCACTTGGCACTATGGCAGAACAAAGATAACTGTCTTATGTTTCACATTTTATGTAGCTTTCTACCGTTGCCCCTCGGTTACTGTGACATCCCACCACCCAAAAGCCCGAGTGCAGGTGGCTGGTAGGTGTATTATATACTCCTTGCTGTCGAGGACAAACTCGAGCACAAACGGCGATCTTAAACATCCTGGATATCTCAAATGCCTAAGTAGAGTGCCTGGTAAAATAAAGAGTCACAATGCCTTCCCATAGAGACAACATTCAACAAAAGCTGTTCAGTGTTCAAAAATTCCATTTGTTTTAACACTGTCATCCTCTTTCAAAGTCCAACCCCTCTCTCTTCAGGGCTTCAGGTCCCAACAAACCTCTCATGTCAGCCTCCACCAGTGCTGCACTCAGGCCCTGCCGTCCTAGACCTCCTCCTCCCACGTGTCAGCGCCCTGTGGAGCTGACCCTTCTTCCCACTCTGCTATCCCCCCTACCCCGCCCCTTACCAATTCTGCCTGCTCAAGAACCCGTTCCCTCCCCGCGGGCCTGGCAGCTCGCAGACATTCCCCTCCTGGTCCCCGCCCAAAGGGTAACGCGGTTGTCATGGACACTGCACCTGCGCCCTTCGGCGGGGCCCCTTCGCTGCCGTCCCCTCCCCCCACCTGCTGAGGGGAGCAGGCCGCGCGACCCTGGCTCCGCCCCGCCCCGGCCACCCCGCCCCGCCCTCTGGGGCGCTCCCCTGGCCGAGCGCGCCCGCGGCACACCCCTCCCCACCCCACATCTCCCTAGTCTTGCGGAGCCGGCAGGAACGCGGGGACGCGGGAGCCAGAGTGCGGCCGCGTCTGCGCACTGCGCGCCTCCCCTAGCGGCGATCCGGGCCGCTGCCGCTCGCGCTTGGGCAGGACGCGGGGCGGGCGGGGGGAGGGGGGAGGGGGGAGCGGCTTCGCTTCCAGCCCCGAGTGAGGCGGAGACCCGGGCGGGCGGGCGGAGCAGGCGGCACCGCACCTCGGCCAGAGGCGGCTGCAGCAGCTGCCCTCATCCCTGCCGCCGCCAGTCCAGTCCCTTCTGTGTTACCACTCCAGCTGCTGGAAGCGCTCGAGAAAGAGGAGGCGAGAAACTCCCACCGACCCGCAGAGGTGAGTCCCGGGCAGAGCATCCTCCCTCCCTCCCTACCTCCCTCCCATCCTCTCCATCCTCCCCTCCCTCCCGCTCCCCAGCCCTCCCTCCCCTCATCCTTCCCAACATCCCTCTCTCCTCTCCCCTCCTTTCACCCTTCCAGCCTTTCTTTCATCCCTTTCTTCCTCTCTCCCAGCTCCACTTCCTTCCCACCCGTTCTTTTCTTCCTTGTCTTCCTTTCAGCCACTCATCCTCAAGCTCAGCTCTGCATCCCTCTCCTCTTGTCTTCATCTCTTTCTCCCCTTTCTTCACCCCTTCCCCACCCAGTGGGAGGGTGGGAGCATCCCTTGCTTGCTACAACTGTCCGGATTCAGGGGCTCCCAGAAAATTGGGCACATATCCTGAGAGACACACTCTTGCACTGTGGATGCCCTGCAGGTCTCTAAATTACTAGGATTAGGGGTCAAGTTGTATAGAGTACTGGAAACTGGGAGGAGAAGAGGACCTGAGAAGAATCTATGAATCTGTACTGTATTAGGGTGGGGGTGGGGAGGGTTGTCACTTAGACGTGTTGCCAATAATCCCCCCCAGCAGTTTCTTTTTTTTCCCCCTCCTAGGAATTACATATTCCTAGTGTGTGTCACAGTAATTTAAAACCTAGCTTTCTCTGCTTTGATTGTCGTCTCCATGAGAAACCATAAGGAAAGAAGAGAGGAAGGGAACAAGAGAGAAAGAGGGGAGGGGAGAGAGAGGGTGGTGGCAAAGGAAACCTCTATTCTTTTGCCTTAGAGCTCTTTGGACTGACATTTTCAAACCACCCGCCTAATATTTGGCTTGGAATTGAACCCGTGTGTCCTTGGTCCTGTCACTACCTACATCAGAGGCAGAAACTCTAAACTTTAATGCTTGTGCACCACAGCATTATTTATGGAATGTTTTGCTCAGCATACGTACAAAAACATCAAAGTAGATTAGTTTCAGAAGATAGGAAGCAGAAGGTCAAAGCAATACACTTTTCTTCATCATGGGTTAACTTCTAAATGATAGTAATGGTTAGTCGCTGAGAAATGAGGCTACATTCCACAGGCTTATAAATATACTGTTTTGATAGCATTAGCTGCACTGTACCGTTTAACAGATACGTGTACTCCTTCTCATCCACCTGTTAGGGTTCTTGTAGATGTTTGAAGAAGAATATTCTGTGTGATTTTGTTTGAGATTTACATGCATGGAAAAGTTGAATTAGCTCTGGAGATCATAGTTAACAATTTACAATTTCAGTTGGCTTTATCACTTTCTTTCCATAAAAATGATGTATTTTACTTTGATTTCTTTAGCTAAACTAATCTGTAGGTATTAGTGGTAATGTGGCAGTTCTCCTTTTTGAAAGCATTGGTGCTGAAAAGTTTATTTATACATGGCAGGACAGCCATGCCAGTTTACTATATTTGTAATCACAGAAGTGTCCAACAGTGTAAATCTAAATAAAAAATGGATATTTAGAGGCCTATATGATTTACCCTACTTACCTGCTTCTAAAAAATAAATAAACCCCAAAACTCAATATCTACTAAATAGCTGAGTTTTATGTTTAAAGAGTGTGTGTAGAGGGACCAAAATTAAATTCATTGAAGTTACCAGTAAAAAAACTATAATGTGGAGCAAATTGTTGATTTTTCCTTTCATTTAAATTATATGCCAATAGTGCAAAATGTGCTTATGCATTTTATAGGCATTAAAAGTAGGAGTTGAGATGAAGAAAATTGCCTTCCTAAGTGATAGAGTGCAGATTTCATGAAGGGCCGATGCAGTTAATCATCTGAATCAGTGTTGGGGAAGTGTGTAATATTAGAAATGATGGAAACCGCCCTCCGACTCCCCATGATAAGAATGCAAATCCATTAATGGCTTGGCTGGCTCTTCAGCCATGTGGCAGAAGCTTGGTTGAATTATCAGTGAAAGTAACATCCTCATGCAGAACTGTGGTGAACCTTGTAGGTATTTGAATGCTTTACATTACTTAATAGTGAACTTGCAGATTGGGATGTTTTTGGTTCTTGGTGTTTCTTTCCCTGAAATATGAAGCTAGTGAAAAACTTTCATAGTAATTGTATATGAGCATATTAAGTTAGTTTTGTCTTAATTTACTTCTAAATGCCTTTCCACTATCATCCTGTTACTTTTTCTTTGTGGGGCTGCTAAGTGAAAGTGTGGGGAGAAGGCAGCCCCTCAGCCAGCTCTGCTTTTGCTTTGTTGCAGTTTTCCTGCACAGAGTGATGTGAGTGTCCCAGATTTTAATACTGTGGTTGCCAAGGAAAGAAAGGTCCCATTTATCTGTCTTCTTTGTTGGTAAATATTTATCCACTTACTGAACACAAAGTTTCTAAGGAGACAGGAAATAAAATATTATTTGGATCACAACATTATTTTAAGAGAGATGAGTAAAATTAATAAAATATAAACTAAAAGAGGAACAAGTATGCTGGATAAGCAGCTTGCCACCCTGAACATTAAATCAGTACAGGTAAAGACTGACTTTCTCTGTATATTTTATTTCTAGAGGCTCCTTTTTTTAGTTGACTGGGCCTTTAAGAATGCACTGCACAATTAAATCCCCAATAGAACATCTTGTAGACCCTCCTTAGGAAATTCTTTGGATATATTCTTTCTACATTTCTCAATTCTAGACACCTGTACAGCATAGTATAAGGTATTGGAAAGAAGTAAAAAGAAGTGAAAGACACTCTTTTTGACCTCAGCCTGCAGTCTAGTTGAAGATAACAGGTATTTGCATGAGATTATATTTCACAGTGGCACAGAACAGGATCTTTGTACAGAGCTTTAGATGTGAGCCTAGACTTTACTGTTTAGGAGCTTTGTGCCCTTGTATACTATTTAAGTCTCTTTACTCATCTATAAAACAGGAATTTCTGTAGACTCTTGATTCATGGGTTTACAGGTTATATGTGTTTAGAACAGTACTTGGTACAAAGTGTATATTGCGTAAGCATTATTATAATTAAGAGAAAAGATTTTAAAATATTCCAAGATTGTGTATGATTATGGATTGGAAAGATGCATTAGCAAGTAAGTGTTAGAGGAAACCTGAAGAGGGCAGATGTCTGTGTGACTAGGAAAATATATCCTATAGTAGCACTGGGTCTTGTAAAGAGACTCTGGAAAGGATTTTATGCAGGCTGAATATCACACCTGGAACAAAAGCAGAGATCTAGGAGGAATTATGTTGTGCTAGGGAAACATGAGGAAAGCTACGTATTTAACTGGGATATTGGACATGCTAATGTATGTATTAAGAGATGTTAAACATAGAGCCAGAGTGAATATACATTCACTAAGTATAAGACAATTCATTGTAGTATAGGATCCATTTTATCACAAAAGATTCAGCATTCCAAGGGACTAGTTTTCATTTTTTTGTCACAGCAAATATTCCATCCCAAGACACAGAATCCAAGATGTGTGTCACCATGAGGACCCAGAGTATTCTTTGTATTTTTTTCTTTAAGCTGAGACAGCGGGAAAATTTGACATTTGATGAACAACCAATGTTTAATATTATATTTATTACAGCTTTTGTTTTGCGTTGCCACATGAATATTCCAGGACTATATCATCGTGAATATTAATCATATTTAGTTAATTTTGACATATATAAAGCCAGAAGCTGTTCGGGTAATTATATTTACAAGAGTTTTACTTTTTACTTCGGTGTTAACTTTATCTAGTTATCAAAGCCCTTTTTTAATGGTGTTCAGAATTACTAATGATTCCAAATATTATGCTTTTTCAGGTGTTTTACTGGGAGACTAACATGTGGTGATAATAGAGGGCCTGTTTAGGAATTTGCACTGAGCAAATTAAATATCCACTGAGAATGAGGTGGCAGATCTTCACAGAATAGACGTTTATACACCTTTGTAAAAAGGCTTGTTTCATGAACTAATTCAAAATAGTCATCCAACAGCATATATGATATGAATTGAATACTCATCCAAAAGTAGATTTCCAGAAAAATTTACCTTTGAGTTCAAAGTAGCAGTATTATAGTACCTATTATGTTTAATCTGTATTTTTAATAGGTAGACTCACTTTCATTGCTTTCCTCCATTAGTAAAAAGCTTTTCTGACATTTATTTTTGTAGCACTAATAATACACAGAATTGATCTTGTGAATATTATCTTGTTATTTTAGTCATAAATATGAATATATTTCCAAAAGTTAACACAGTATAAACTCTTACTGTTTTTCTTTACTATTTTGAGATCTTCATTGATATTCTGATGTTGTAAAGATTCTGGAGATCTAAAAAAAATTTTCAGATTTATCACTTCTAGTCAATTTTACGTTAAAGCACTAGTATTATTTGAAAAATTTTAATTATAAGTATTTTTATTTTCCTAATAAGGGAATTTTTATCTCAGAGCTGAAATCTAATTCAACTTCAAATATGCATTCTATACCTCTTCGAAATTATTTGTAACAAAGTATAAAAAAAACAAAGTTTTAGTCTCACTTTATAGAGCTTAATTTGTAGAGCTTCATTATTAAAATGGATATTGTTATTTATTGCTATTTAAAGGACTGATCCGTGAAGGCAACTGTTAGACCATTATTTTTCAGGTGTGAGGATAGCATGCATTAGCAAGAGTGAAAAAAACAATTAAATTCTCCATAAGTTAAGTTTGTGACCAAATGAGTTGGAATAAAGATGAGATGGAATGAATGAATGTTATTTCATCTGTTTGGCTGAAATTCTTATAACTGCCTGTTCAATTACAGGTTTTCTTCTTAGCTGCCATGTTAATACTGTCATTGTTTTAATTGTTTAAAAGTACCTTGAATGTGTAAATTTCAGTGAACAGTTTTTCAAAGTAAAATATGTAAAGTAAATATGTAAAGTAAAGTAAAATATGCAAAGTAAAAAATGTAAACTCATATGTTGAATTTTGCTGTGTATCTTGCTATTTTTCAACATCTGGCAGTTGTGTGTGCTTGGCT